AATTAATATATTATTTTTTTGTTAATGAATTTCTTTTATTTAGACAGTATGATTAAGAAACAAAGAAAACCGTTTCATTGATGGGACGAAGTATTAAGAGTCCACATGGATGACCCTGACAGGCGTATGTCTGAACTCCTATTCTCGAATTGCGATGGATATGCCACTCCAGAGAGTTCTTCTCCGGCCATTGTTTTCCAGAAGCTCATCCTCTGGCAAATAACCATGCTGATGGAGTTCTTCATCTCATTCTTCCGTCGTCCTACATGCCTTATTTACCAATATGAACTGCTGCAACTCCTAGTGCGACCTATTGTCATACGGGGGTGGTGGGTGTTATATCTTGGAATTGGTCATCCTGCCGTTATTTAAACAATTTACGAGTTATGAAGCATTCACTTATATAGCGCAAAGTCCCCGTTTATAGCTAAAATAAGACTTTTCTGCGTTTATATTATTATCTGTTAATATATAAAAAAATACCATGGTATTATCACTATTTTATTTTTATGTTTAGGTAGGATTTATTATGTATATAGAGCAAAGTCTCAGTCTCGGAACCATCCGTGAATTGTTCAATTGGTTTATGTCTGGCTGACTGGACGTTGGGTCAGGTGATCCAACCGGACGATGGGTCAACAGTCTGGGAAGTAGTCAGTCCGCTCCCTGTTCTAGCCTTGAACAACTGGATCGTATATGGTCTCTTTTAGGGTGTCCAGTTTGAATGGGTTTGAGAAATTAATCTAGAAGCGACTCATTTGTTCCTACATTGCTCTGAAGATTGTTTTGATATTTATATTCTTGAGTCATCAGTAAATCCATAGAGATAATTTCTTCTCAGACAAACTCTTGCTTTTTAACTTCTTTACGGCCGGATTCAAGGTCTTGTTGAATCTTTGTCATTTTGGAGTAGTTTGAGTTACACAGTCTTGTTAAGACAAAGACGTAAAATGTTAGTGATGAACTTTAATTACAGGAAGAAAAATTAATCTTCTTATTAATGTAAGTGATACTTCCATGAGTTTGCACTAAATATGTACAGTGGACCCCACCATACACGATGGCATCGTCAAGCGATTTTTCCGCATAACGATACTTTAAATCGCCAAATTTTTGCCCCGCATACCGATTAAAAACCCGCATACCGATTTTCGTCGAGACCGTCCTATGTGTGCCCTCAGCCAGCCTCACATGCCGCTCCGCCCCATTGTTAACCCAGCCAAGCCTCCGCGGTAACATCCAAGCATAGAAACTCGGAATATTTCGAATTATTACAGTATTTTCGTGCTGTTTTCTGGAAAATAAGTGACCATGGGCCCCAAGAAAGCTTCTAGTGCCACACCCCTGAGGAAAAACGGGTGAGAATTAGGAATGGAAAATTAAGAAGATTTTGAAGTGGTTTTGGCTAACCCTGAGAAGCCATCCAGTTGTGGAATCCATTGTGCCTACTTCAAAGTTAAGAAATGTGTGCACAGTGGGTTGAACTGCAAACCTTTATAGAGGAAAATCCACCCTGACACAGCTGTTGCAAGCCCGTGCTGGTGACTATTTCAATGACAATGTTGTGGCCCATTTTAAGACACTAATCGTAAAGGACGGGAAGGTCAGAGCTCTATGGACAGATTTGTTGGTGCGACAGAGTCCCAGTGACTCCTCAAGCATGGTCCTAGTGGCATTAAAAGAAGAAGGGAAGTAACCCCGGAAAAGGAACTTGCTACCTCAAGTCGTAATGGAAAGGGGATTCCCCTTCAAAACAGTAAGAAGATAATGCTCTACCCTCCCCTCCTCCCATCCACCAATCATCACCAGATCTTCAATAAAAAGTAAGTGCAATTTAAATTGTGCATGCCTTATTTTCAGTTTGTGTTAATTATAAAATTAAACATTTCATTGGTAAAATAAATTTTTTTCATACTTTTGGGCGCTTTGCACGGATTAATTTTGATTTCCATAATTTCTTAATGGGGAAACATCATTCGCATAAACGTTTAAAAAAATTTCCATAACTATGAGCCCTCTTGCACGGATTAAAATCGTTAAACCGGGGGTTCATGTAATTGTAAAATTTATTGGTACAAAGTATTAAGATATAATATATAGGTACAGAGATAAAGATAAAGATGTATTATAAATACTTTAATAAATTGAATATTATTCTATGATTTCCCAGTTGAAATTATTTCCCCTAGACTCTAAATACCTTTAACAAACTCTGATCCAAAATCTTGTTGCATAAGAAGAAACTAGGTAACAGACTACATTCTGAAGTCTTTATAAAATTCTTATTTGCAACAGTGTGTTGGTTGCTAGTGTTATTCAAATGCCGTTAAGTACGTATGCAAGTTGAGAAGCTTCACTATAGTAGCGGCAACAGCAGGACGAGCAGCATAATGGTAGACATATAAGAGACAGTGCCATGGGAAGACATGAACGCTGTACAAGGTGCGAGAACACAGGCTTGGTCTGCAGAGCCATAAAGAAAAAAGGGGGGGGGGGTCAAAAGCTTTGCCTGGGGATACTTGGTGATGTTCGGTCCACTGAGAGCAGAGAGAGTTACATTAATAAGAGAACATTCATTAATTCTGTGGAGTAAGCTATACATGAACTCTTACTCCAAGTAAACTAACTTCAGTTCTACTAGGGAATATATATAAATTCAACTATTGGATATACATTCACTTCTACAGTGGCATATATACATAATTCCTAATCCACTGTGAGGCCTGTCATGGGACGCAAGCCACAGAGCGTAGACGCCCTGGAACACACACAAGGTATATGTGTAATAATAATACAGGAATATGATGGTAATGCTGTATATCCTTGAGGCTTGCGCATCTTTTCTGTATTTATAATAATAATGATGGTAAACATGGTTCGCTAGAGATTGTGTACCCAACATAACAATTCTGGTTTAAGAGAATACATAATTCTTTCGTAGGGGCATTGTACAATAAAGCTACTACATTTTTGTCTTTTCTATCTATAAGAGTTTGGTAAAATATAGTTATTTTAAACAACCTTAAAAACTGATTTTTAAATCTTACATCTTAACTGAAGCTCAACATTGCATAAATCAATTATTCCAGAAGCCAATTGGTAATCCCTCAAACACACACACACACACACACAACCCAATCCACACACACACACACAGGAGGAGGAGTGGTGGGAACACCCTGGAACGGAACAAGATTAATAAATGAAAAAAAACAGCATGGTATCATGGAAGCAAATCCTGTGTCACAAACCTGCTGGAGTGCAGAAGCCATTGACAACAGTCCCCCACATGAGATTAGTGGCCAGAAGCTGGAGGTTCAGGCACATATAACAGGGAGGGGCACTGCAATTGATCAGGAGAGACCTGACAGGAGGCATGGTACGTGAAGAGGTATCACAGTGGCACTTGTGACGCGCGAGGTTCCCAGAGGGTCAGTTTTCTAGGACCAGTGCTATTTTTGTATATATGCGAACGACTGGGAAGGAATAGAACTCTGAGTTCCTATTTCGCAGAAGATGTGGAAATTGATGAGAAGATTAAATCGATGAGATGAGGCAGACTGCAAAGAGACCTGGACAGGCTAACATGTGTCCGAAATCTGGCCTTCTCGAATTCAACCCTACCCTGCAAAATGCGAAGTCATGAAACAGAGTATAGGCTAGTGACAAAGACTACAGACCACACTCAGGGAGAAAGACCCTGGGTGAACAAAACAACCGAGCACGTCTCCGGGGCACACGATCAAACCAAATAACTGCAGCAGCATACGGCGCCTGCAAACCTGAGAATACAATCCGATAACCTTAATAAGGAATCGTTCAAGACACTGTACACTGTGTATGTAAGGCCAATTCTGGAGTATGCTGCACCAGTCCCCACCTGTCAAGCACGTCAAGAAGTTTAAAGTACAAAGGTTTTGCAACAAGGGCTAGTCCCAGAGCTTAGGGTATGGTCGTACGAGGAAAGGTGAGGGAAATCAGACTGATGACCTGAGGACAGATGAGTCAGGGATACATGATAACGACATACAAGATACTGCGGGAATAGACAAGGAGACAGAGATCAATGTTTCCAGAGAGGGGATCACAGAAACAAGGGGTCACAACTGAAGCTGGAGACCTGCTAAACGCTCACAGGGACGTAAGAAGTATTGCTTCAGTCCAGATATCACAGGAAGTGGAATAGCCTAGCAAGTGAAGTAGTGGAAGGCAGGAACCATACTTAATTTTAAAGATGTCTTTAAAGCTCAGGAAGCAAGAGGAGAGGACCCAGTAGCGATCGTCAGTGAAGAGGCGGGCCGAGGACTATGACCTCGACCCCCCTGCAAACCACAAATTAGGTGAGGTACAGACTGTGACTTGACCCCTGCAACTACATATGGAGCACACTTTTCTTGCACTCTCACCCTCTCTCACTGCTCCATGACAATTACTATTTGCATGGCAAAGGCAAAACTAGAAAGGTCATATAGCACCCTAAGAAAATGGGAGTTAATCAGCAGGCTTAAAACCCATAGGAAAGGAAGCTCCCACCCTATCCTGAATCATTAGTATAATCAAACAAAAGCACTAAACGCAAGGGTTATAACAGCCACACCCCAGAACAGAATAAACCATCAATAAATACACTCCATTTATACTATCCCACTGTAACAAATTTTACCCTCTAGTTTTGATGCTTGTTTTTTATCCATCTCTTTTTCATTCATAATAACTATACTATAAATTTCAGCAGCTTCTGCTCTGTTTCTTGTTTAATTTTTTAAGTATTTATCATGACTATTTTTTTAACTTTCCATAACTTAACATTTTGTTTAGAACTGTCATAACTGTTTATTTTTAATTTTTTCGTACGTCTGCATATGTTACAAATTCTTGTGTAACTAACCTTCATATAACACCATAGTATACTGACACTTAATGACTTGGTCACCCTCCAGCACTTTCTTATTGAGATATCTTCTTATTCAGTTCTCCATGGCAAGTGCAATTCATCCCTCCTGGTACTTGTGCCCAACACCAACCATTTAGGGTATAAACTCGAAAGTGTCCAGTTTCAGGTCCCTGTCAATAATTTTAGTAAGTAAACTGGAGCACATGTAGTCATCAAGAATAATTCATTGTGCTGCTTAAGTGCACCTAGGATAGCTGTGCCCCTACTGAAGTTTTCCCTGTTCAGGCTGCAGATTCAGTCCTCTCATAAAACCCATCCTGTGTGATGTAATATGTCAGAAACAACTGCTATTTGCTACTACTATGTACCATATTCATACAGAATATGATAGCCACACACATACTGTTCCTAAGCATGTAACTAGTAAAACGGGTACCACACATTGTGAGTATGCATAATTATTGTAAAAAAACATTCAGTAATGTATTATCAGACACAAGATCCAACAGACAGGGTCTTTTTGAAGTACAAAATCTCAAAATAAAAATATAATTTGAAATGCTAAATAACCTTAAAAACTGTGAATTTATATTGTATTATTAACTGAAATTCTAGTTGCAGTGATGCCCTTCAAAAAAATAATCAGCCCCTAATTTGGTTATCGCTAAAGGCACCTACTTTGAGAAGTTGCCAATGCCAAAGGTGTCCTGGAGGAGGCCTGGGTGGGGGGAGGAGCGACATAGAGACATGTTGACACGAGGGTAGTAATAGATGAAGGCTTGACACATCTCGTCTCTGGCTTTCCACCCTGTGAAGGTCCCACTGTCTTGCCCACTGCTGTCATAGTCACATTCTATAAGAAAGTGAAGTCCAGTTACGTCACATGTCTTGTACACAACATACAGAAAATCAAGCCTCCATTATGCCTTGCACTGAATGATTCACACAGTTTGCCCTTCAAGGAACACAGGAGGGAGGGCACTTTGATGCTAATGAGGGGCTCCTGATGCAAGGAACTGGATCTACCCTTCCTTTCCTTGGATCAAGTCTGATCTCTCATTCTCCAACTGTTGTTTGACCCATACCTGGACAGAGTTCCGGGGTGTCAACAACCCCACGGCCCGGTCTGTGACTGGGCCTGATCAACCAGGCTGTTACTGCTGGCCGCATGCAATCCAATGTACAAACCACAGCCCAGCTGGTCGGATACTGACTTTAGTTGCTTGTCCAGTGCCTGCTTGAAGACAGCCAGTTTAACTTTTCCATGAATAAATAATAATCCACATGATTTAGTGCTTCATAATATATAATGAAGTACAGAAAGATGCATGTTCCTTGAACCATGGGCATCAGAAAATTTTCTAGGGGCAAAGTATACTATGCTGGACAGAGCGGTTTTACCTTAAAATAAAAAAAAAAAAAGTCAGAAAAAAGTTAGTCTATTATGGTTGACAAAAGAGAAAATAATTGGTGAGGCCATGTGTTCAGTTGTGTTTTGGTGGTTCTCTAAGAGAAGGTTCATGATGACAGTTGAGGGGCTCTTGAAACCAGGAATTTAGTTTCCCTTCCTTTCCTTAGATCAAACCAGATTGCCTCCCATTTTTCCCAGATGCCACATTACCCCTACTGGTTTTGGGTTCCCTTCCCCTCCCCATGAATGTAATAATAGTGTTTTGTTGTGAAACAAGAGAGGTCAAATGCCCCCTCTTGCCCTTGACTGACAACACCCAAGCCCCAGATCTACTCACCTGTCAAACTTGCTAAACTTAAAAGAATGAGTATGTAAACTTTAATAATAACTAACGTGACTAATAATGTCTCTACCCATTTCCTTCAGTGTTTGCAAAAGCTATGTAGAATTATTCAGTTTGTTGCCATGGTTACTTGGGCCCTTGCTAGGGAACTGGAAGGCCTGACCCCTCAAGGAAAGTGCCTAAATGCTAGTGAGGACTCTTGATCCAAGAAACTAAACTTCACTGGATTGAGCCCCAATGCCTCCCCTATAGGTTTAGCATTTGCCCATGAAAATAAAAGGCCTGAGGTACTTACCTACAGTTAAGTGGTCCCCTGGCAGGATCTTTACCTCTTTCGTCAGTCTGCGAGACTGCTGGAAGTCAGCAGCGTAGTGGGAGTCCACAAGCCAGTGGTGGCAGCTCCACATCATCCCTGAAATGACGCAGTCTGATGGCCCTAGCTGAAAGGGTCAGGACTTTTTACAGATGATCTTATTATTTCAGTTGTCAAAATTATTCAAACAGCAATGTTGTTTATTCCATGAAGACATAGCAAGACTCCAAGCGACATCAACCAAATCTTTAAACGCTGCAAAACATACAATTTAAAGAAAAAATTTTTAACCTTAAAAAACCAGGGGTTTTATTTTCCCCCTTTCCCAAAAAACCCAATTCCCCCCCTTTAATGAAAACCCCCCCAGGGTTTTTGGGCCCCTTCCCCCCCATAAAAAGAAAATGGTTTTTTTGAAAAAAAAGGGGGGCAAATTTTATTTTGGCCCTTCCCCAAAAAACCCCAAGGGGAACCAATGACCCCGGGCCTTTAAACCTTAAAAGGAATTAAATTTAAAAATTCCCCAACCCGGGAAAAAAGGTTCAAAATTTTTCCTTCGTTTTTCCCAAAAACCCTTTGTTTTTAAACCCCGGGTTCCCCCTTGGGCCCCTTGGGCTAGGGAACGGGGCCCTTAAAACCCCCAAAAGGGCCCTTCCGGGGGAAACCTTTCCAAAAACTTTCCCCGGATCCCCAATTTTAAAATTTTTAATTTTCCCTTTTTTTTGAATGAAAAAAATGTTGAAAACTTAATTGGCCCCCTGGGACCTTTATTTTGCCTGGGAACCGGGAAAGGTGGTTTTAAGGGGTAAAAGGGGGCCCCACACTCCCAAATGGATCGGGCCCCAAATAAACCAGGCTGTTACTTGACCTTTTTAAACACAAAAACCCAACAAGGGAAAAGCCGGCATTGGGAAAAGACTTAAAAGGGCCTTCCCAAAAAATTTTTGGGCCTCCAAAAAAGCCAGGGGAAATTTTAATTTTCCCTTTATGTGGGGGGGAAAAAATTAAAAACTTTTGGGCCCCCAAAGACAATTGGTCTTAAGGGGGGGGGATTTAAGGGGGCCCCCTTTGCTTTTCATTTTGTGGATAGGTTGTTTAAAAGGGAATGCCAACCCCTTTTTGTTTCATTAAAGTTATTTTTTGTGAAATTTTTGGGTAAAAAAACCCCCCCTGGGGAAATTTCCAAGGGAATAAAAAGGAATTTTTCCCCCGGCACCAAAGTACGATAAAAACACCCAAATTTTTGGGGGGTTAATTTGTTTAATTTGAAAAGGGAAAATTTCCTGTTTTTTAAATTTTCTGGGGTTTTTTGCATCCCTTCCCCCTTTGAAAAAGGGGTTTTTGGGGGTGTCAATACCCCCAAAAAAAGAAAGCAATTTAAAGTAATTAACCAAAAGGGCCCGGGGCTTAAAGGGTTTTTAAACCTCCTAATCATTTTAAAATTCCCAAATGAGGTGGCTTTGAAAATCAGGAAAAGGGAGTACCTGCCCCCCCCTTTCTGGGTTTTCAAATTTAGTTTTTTCCCTTCCCAACGGGGTTGGGAATTTCCCCTTTAACCACCAGGATTTTTAACCAAAAGCCAGGGGGAAAGAAAAGTTGGAAAATTTGTTTTTTAACTTAATTAATTTTGTTATTTTGAAAAAACCCATTTTGGGGAAATTTGGTTAAACCCGGTCCAAATTGGGGGGTTGAAAGTTTCAATGCCCCCACAGCCTCCCCAAATTTGATGGGGGCCAAAAAAGGGCCCTGATGCTGGAAACACCCCAAATAAAAACCCCTCGGGAAAATCTTTTGTTTCCCCCCCCACTTGAAGGGAGGGGTCAAAATTTTTTTGCAAAAAACTCCCCGTAAAAAATTTAGGTCTCAACTAAAAAACCCCGCCAGGAAAGGAAATCCCATTTTTTGAAATGTACTTTTTGGGAAAAAGGTATGACCCTTAAGAAAAGGTGAAAAAATGTATTTTTCATAACCTGCATTAAAAGGAGAAAAGAAAATCCCCAAACGCCAGTTTTTTGGGTTTTTGGGTGAATTGTCAAAACCGTAAACAAGGCGCCCTTTTGCCCCTTGAGGGGGCATGGTTTCCCCCCTTTCCCAGAAAAGGCAAAATTTGTTAACAATTTTAACCCTTTTAAAAAGGCTTATTTTTATATCATAAAGCAAAAAAAAGATTTTTTAAACAAAGGAAACCTGAACAAACCCCCCCTTTCCAAATTTAAAGTTTTTTGGGCCAACCCCTGGGGGGGCTTTTTTAACCCAGTTTTTTTCCTAAATTTCCCCAATAAAATTTTCAACAAAAAATTTTTTTAAAAACCCCATTTAAGGTTTTCCCCTTTTAATTTCATACTCAAAAATAACCCCCAACCTTTCCAAAATTCCCAATTTTCCCCAAAAAATATTTAAATTTCCCCTTTCCCCAATATCCCTTAATCTTTTACTACCCTCCCCCCAAACCCGGAAATTTACTAATAATCAAAACCCTTTTCCAAAAAATAACCAATCTCCAAAAATTCCCAATTATGAAAACCATATTCCCCCAAAAAACCTAAAAAAATTATTCCTTTTAACCCCCTCCAAACAAAAAAATTCCCAAACCCACACCATTTCCCTTTAATTGCAAAACAAAAAAAAAATCCCAAACCCAAAATTTATTCAAAATTTTTCCCCCCCCAAAATTCAAAATTGCCCAAATTCCCCGAGGCAAAATTTGAATTAATTTAAAAGGAAAAATAATTTTTTTCATAAACCCACTAAACATCCTTCCAGTTTTTTTAAAAAAATGGGCCCCCTGAAACAGAATTTAAATTGGCCCCCCTCAACTTCCCATTTAAAATCCAACTTTTCCCAAATTTTTTCCCCCCTTCAAAAAAACCCCTCCAACCTTCCTTTGGTTGTTTGTTGCCCCCTTCCTAAAATAAAAAAAACCCCCAACCCTTTCCCCAAAAAAGGCCAATTTCCCAAAATTAATTATTGAAGAAAAAAATTTTAAAATCCCCCAATTACAATTTTAAAAGACCCAAACTAAAAAAAAAATTTATTCCCAATTTCCCAAAATTCCTGGTTAAAATTTAGCCCCCAAATTTTTTAAATTTGAACCCTTTTAAACAACATTTAAAAATAACCCAACCAAAGGACCTTTTGACAAGCCCTTGGCCCCGGGGCCTTCTCCACCGGGCCATGCTAAGGGGAGTCACTTTCCTTTTTGGATTTGGGGGAGGGGTCAAAATGGGGTGGCCCCCCCCCGGCAAAACCCCCGGTTCCAAACTTTCTCCTTTTTTTGGCAATTTTTTCCCCCTTTCCCAAGAAAGCCCCCAAAAACCCCTGTTGGGGAAAGGGAGAACCCCCTAAAGGTATTTTTAAAGGGCCATTTTTTTCTGTAAATTTGGGGTCCCAAAAAATTTTTTTTGGGAAAAAAATTCATCCCGTTTTTTAAAATATTAAAAAACCCAAACCCCAAAGAAAATTTTATTGGCTTTAACCTGGGTATTATTTTGGGAAATTTCATTGTTAATGGGGGTTTTAAAACTTTAATTTTTGGCAAAAACCCATGAAGGTTGGCCCAACCCCCAACCGGGGCTAATTACCATTTGGAATTTGGGGGGTCATGTTTAAGACCAGACCCCGGGCAATTCCTTTGGAATTGGTTTCGCTATAAAACGGACCCAGCCACTGGGGCCAATTTAATGTACCCGTTTTTTGAAAACCCCCCAAACCCGGTTTTTGGGTATGGGGGGTAATCTTTATAATTTTAACAAATTTTTTAAACTTTCAGAGGAACACCAACCATTCCCAAATTCCCGTTAAAATTTGGTTTTTAATTTTTATTTGGAAATTTATTCAAAAGGTTTTAAAAAACCAGCCAACCAAAGGCCAAAAACCAATTTTCCAAAAACCCCCAAAATTTAAGTTTTTATTTTAAAATTCCCACCCTTCAAAAGGCCCCCCCCGTCCCCCAAATTTATGATTTTAAATTTTTTACTCCCCCGGGGGGTACATAAAAATAAAAAATTTAAAAACAAATTTAAACAACATCTAAGGCCCCAAATTTCCAAAAAAAAAACCTTTTCCCCAAAAGGTTTCTATAAAGAAAATACCAGGGGGACCCAACTGCAAACACCCAAAGGAAAAAACCTCAAAAAAAGGGGAAAAATTTCCTTCCCAATTTAAAAAAACCCCCCCCCTTTATGGGGAAAAAACTTATTTCCCGTTTCGTTCCCCTTATAGGTCCCCAAAAATCTTTGGGACCTTTTTGGGGAAAAATTTCCTTCCAAAAAACGTTTTTTTGGAAATGTAGACGGAAACGGTCAAGAAAAAATCTTAAAATTTTTGGTGTATAAACTTTCTTTAAGGGGGGAAAAAAGGGGTGGGGGGGTTGGGGGTTAAAAATTGTGGGGAAATAATTTTAAAAAAATTTAAAAAAATATATTTGGAAAAGTCACAAAAAAACCCAAATCCCCTTCCCTTTATTTCATTTTGTATTTTAAAACAAAAAGGGTTTTTATAAAAAAAAAAAATTTAAAACAAAAATTTAAATTGATTTTTGGGTTTTTAAGTTTTTTTTAAATTATTAAATAAAAAACTATTATTGTCCCAAAAAAAGAATTAAAATTTGTAAAATAAAACTATATTTAAAATTATTTTTTTAGTAAATTTTAGTAAATTTTAAAAAAATAGGGTTTAAAAATTAATAAATTTTGGGGGGGGGGGCCAAAAGGGGGAATCCCGCCTAATGACTGCCCTCTTCTGCTGCCCTCCCTTCCACTGACCCATAAAAAGGCCATTTTTTGCCTTTGCTCCAACTTCCTCCCCCCACGATCCCTGAAAAACAAACTCAAAGGGCCGGGGGAAACGGGTTTCCCTCATTTTTTGTATATATTTTTCCTTTTTTTTCCTTTAAAGTCCTAGAATCTGTATTGATAAAGCCACTGGATGGCAAAACTTTCTACAAAAAGATATCCAGATGGGGGGCCCAGGGTTCTAACTTTAAAATTTTTCGTATTTTAAAAACCTTTTTTGCACAACTTGTAAACCCACTGCAACAAAAAGGAATTTTTGGTTTAAAGGGGACATCTAAAAAAACCTTCTTCACGGCTCGCAACTAACCC